GAGAGAGAGAGAGAGAGAGAGAGAGAGAGAGAGAGAGAGAACTCAAAGAACAGAAAGCTTTGCATCAAGCAGTAACCACCTTTCACAGAGCACCACCCTAGCACCCTGGGCTACCCATCTGGAAGAATCACTGATGGGACTTGTACCTAAATCTGCCCAGCTTCAGAGATCTGGCTCTTAACCACAGCACTTGGCTGCTTGGGAATGAGAGAGACATTCACATGATAAATAAGATTCCTTAACATTCTCAGGCCAACAAAAAAGAGCAGATTCACAAACTGCCTTTGCAGCCAGTACCCTGTCGGCACAAGGTTGAGCTGAGAGGGTTGTAGGTTATCCCTGCCTGCTCTTCCAGATAATTTACTCTTCTGAACATTGAGATAGCTTGTCGCTTGACAAGGCTGGCCCATCTTTTCCGCCACTGCCTTTTCATCATCCATTAATACAAAGGTTCATAAAACAAGCAAACTTCCCTACAGAGTGGTCCATCCTGAACCACTGGACAGGTCTGAGGAAAGGTCTCAGGTGTGCTGTTTTCTTTTTGCAGCTTCTCTGGGGTTCCCTCCCCACTCCTTCCCTCCTCCTGGGGCTGAGTTGCCAACAATTGCTAATGGTAGCTGACGGTCAAAGTTACCCAAGGAGTTGAAAATCCATCTCTACAGAACTCAACCCAGAGCTGAGTTCAAGAGAGCTCAGGGAGCTTGAGAATTTGAATTCTAACTCATTCCCAGGTGATGCTGACTCTGCTTGTCTTAAGAACCTTGAAAACCACGACTGCAAGTATTAACTGTAGTCAGGGTGACATTTTCACCATCAGTATCTGGTAGCATCCTCTGCTTCCCCCACTTAGTTACCACGGAACAAGAGCAGAAAGGAGCCCATCCCTGGAGGCCAGTCCCCATGCAAGCCTTGCTGCTGACTAGCTGGCTGAGGTTTTGAGACAGCGATGTGTTAAATGTGCGGTTGACTTGGACCAACTCCGAAGTCCACTGCAGTGAAGAGTCATGGAGCTATTTATTATTCACATACCAAGCCTATATCTTAACTCACTCAAAAGCCGTGAAACTCTTTGTGGAGCAGTGCACTCACACCTGTGTTTATTTCACAGCTGAGGAGATGGAGACTCCATAAAAGCACACCGCCAAGCTCAGCATAGCCTTCTTAGGTAGGTAAAACACTGGGTCAAGAGTCTGTACCGTATCATCCATCACTAAAGTCCCTGATTTATCTACCATAATACAGGACATCTTTACATGCACCAGCAGGTTTTGGGGGGAAATTCTGGAGGTTGCTGTAGTAGTCATGAAAAACAGAGGCTATCCTAGTTAACACAAGGTGCAGATGGTGCCTCCCTTTTCCCAGTGAGAGCCCAGTTATTTCAGTGGCTGTGGTCATTAGTGCTGCTTACTTTTTCAAACTACACCCCACAGCTCTCAGGAGAAATGTGTTCATGCCTCACCTGGAAAGGGCTCCTTAAGGAAGTGGCCGTTGATGGTCTGGTTGGCTGTGCCCAGGGCGTTCTTGGCAATGAGGGTGTAGTTGCCATTGTTGTAGTGGGTGGGTTTGTTGAAAAGCAGGCAGCCCTCAGAGACCTCCCCCTCCTGGTAGTAGTCCATGTGAATGATCTTGGACTCCCTCAGTGGCTGCCCATTGTACAGCCAGTGCAGCGTGGGTGTCGGATTGCCACGCACCACAAACTCAATGCAGTGCTCCAGGCGTACCTCAGGCTCCACCAGGCTCACCACACGTGGAGGGTCTGTGGGGAAAAGCAAGCTGATATCGAGGACACAGAGTCTCCTATGTGCTGAAGAAACCTTCTAGGAAGCAGGATGGGGATCCCACTTCTCACCCTGCTCTGAAAAGGCTGAGTAGAGTTCCCACCACCAGCCAATCGATCGGGAGAGACCTGTGTCTCTTTATCTAAGCTCCCTGGATCCGTCTTAGCTGGAGCTTTCCTCCTGAGTCCTTTCAGGGATGCCAAAGGTAGAAAGGGCCAACTTAAGAGATCCTTGAAAATGGAACTGAATTGCAGACGCGCACCATCCACTGAGGGACAAGGACATTCTTTCTTGGGTTTATTAGCCAAGAACTTTTTTTTTTCAGTTTTGCCTAATGACAGCCTTTCTGCCCTTGTTAAAAGACCGGGGTCGGCGCTCTAGATCAACCCTAGCCATGGAGCTGCCCCATCCCCAGCCTCCTCCTGGTCCCTCTCTGTCGTCCATGTTGACATGCACTTACAGTAGACAGTGAGAGCAACACTGGCATTGCTCATGCCCACCACGTTCTCTGCAATACACGTCAGGGTGAAACCATTGTCCTCGCTTGTCACGTTCACCAGGGTCAAGTTGATGGCGTGCACATTGGTCCAGTTCAGATTGGTCTGAAAACCCCAATCAGAAGATAATAACCAAACCATTTATCCAAGGATGGCTTCCTTTTCTAAGCCCTAATACCTCCAGAAATCAAGCAAAAGGTGAATGAAGTCTAGCTAGCGGGAACACACAGACCATGTTCCAGATTCTTAGCAGTTCATATTGATCCTCATGTTAATACTGGGTGGAAAATGGTAAAATTGGGTCTTTTTTTTTTTTTTTTTTTTTTTTGCAAAAGAAGAAACCAAAGCACAGAAAGCTGAGCAGCACAGCAAAGATCAAAATGACCAGAAATCATTACATCTAGATAGAATCTGTGTCTGTAGGTTTCTCCCCAGAGAGACAGGATCACAATTTCCCCCTCTTCTTCATAACTAACGGATGCTCGGTCCCTACCTCTTGATGGGCCTGGTCATAGGGTGCCTACCTGGTGGGTGTTGATAGACTGCAGCCCGGTGACTATCCAGTCTACATCAGGCAAGGGGGAGCCAGAGCCATTGCAAGTGATTACAGCATTGTCTCCTTCTCGGACAGTCAGGTTGACGTGGCTCACACTGATCTCGGGCAGATCTGGGAGGACAGAGAGGAGAGGGAGGTAGAAAACAGCACACAGAGGAGCTCTGCCTCCAGGCACTTCTAGCCTTGCCCAGTGACAACTCCAGTTCAACTTGCTTGCGTTCGAGTGATAACAACCTTGTGATGGTTACTACCAATCTGACGAGCTCTAAAATCACCTAGAGACACCTCTGAGCATGCCTGAGGGAATATCTATGCTAGGTTAACCAGGGTGGGAAGACACCATATTATGGGCTGGGGCCTGGACCAAATAAAAAGGAAAAAGTAAGTGAGCTGAGCACCAACATTCATTTCTCCCTGTTTCCTGACTATGGATACACAGTGGCCAGCTGCCTCAAATTCCCCTCATGCAGCCGTGACTTCCTCACTATGGTGGGTTATACCCTCGGAACTGTGGGCCAAAATAAACTCTTCCTTCTTTAAATCGATTTTGTCAGATCAATGTGAAAAGTAACGACTATAAACCCAGCGGATTCCCAGCCCCTCCTCTGTAGACCTCAGAGGCATATACAGTGGGATGCTCCTACACAGCAGGGTATGAGTGGTACACCTGTTCAGAGAATGCCATTCTAGCAACCAAGTGTCTAGCTTCAACCCACTGGGGGCACTAAGTCTCAGCAAATTGGTGTGTGTCAGGTTCCCGTGGGAACTGGAGATTGCATTCCCTAGTGTCTGGTTGGTCATTGAAGCTGGTGCTCTAGAAAGAGCTTGGAAGCTCCTGATACAGGAACACCAGAGGCTGCACATGAAGACATGTTCCTTCACGTTTGATTGACAGGTGACTCAGAGAGAAAGGGAATCTGATCTGCTGGGAATGGCACATGACTCCTTTCAGCATTCTTTCCTAAGACCAGCCTTCCCACATCTGGCTCAAGACAGGATTGACCAAGAAGAGGAAAGGTCAGTCTGATCCATACCCACTGCAGAGGTCAAGGCTGGAGATGGCTGGGAAGGAGACCTGTAGTGGGCCAGCCTGAGGCTCAACCTCTTCTCTGTGGTGTGTGGAATGCTGGCCATATGAGGCAGTACAGTTGCTCACTCACCACACTGACTGATGTTCATGCGGAAGAGAGGGAGTTGGGAGCCATCAGGACTGATGCAGTAAAGGCTCTGACTGTCCAGCCGGGCCTCCCCCTGCTCCTGCCACAGCTGCATCCAGCGGATATCACAGCTGCAGTTGAAGAAGTTCTGCTCCAGTCTCCTGTGGGCAAGAAGAGAGGGGAAGGAATCCCTGAACGGTGGATGACCCAGCTCCCTCCCAGGGCTGAGGCCAGCAGGCGCCTGCGGCTCCTCCATGAAATAAGCCAGATTCAGACAGACAGTCACCATGTTTCCTCTCAGTCATGGATCCTAGACTTCATATAGATGCATAAAACCATGAGAGAGAGACAGAGACAGAGACAGAGAGACAAGACAGAGAGAAATGAAAGTAGAAGGAAAGCTGGAGGAAGGAAGGAGGGATGGAGGGAGGGACGGACAGATGGAAGGACAGATGGACGGACAGACTTGATGGACAGAGGGATGGAAGAAGGAAGGAGAGTAAGGCACTAGCTGGGGGGATAAGGAGGAAGAGAAGGGCATCTGGGAGTGAATATAGTCAAACACATGTTACACTTGAAATAAATTATCTTAATGAAACCCACCACTATGTACAATAAATATATGCCAATAAAAAATTAAAAAATAATAATGGGGGGCTGGGGAGGTAGCTTAGCTGGTAAAATGCTTGACAATCACACATAAGGATGGGAGTTTGGAGCCCCAGCACCTATAAAAATGTTGTAAATGCCAAATGGGCATGGTAACCTGTAATTATAGGCCAACCTGTAATCCCTGCCCTCAGGAGGTAGAGACACGGGAGTCCCAGAACAAACTCACTAGTCAGAATAGCTGGAATTGGTGAACTCCAGATTCAACCAAGGAAAACACTCAATAGCAGCCTCTGAAATCCATATACAGGTGCACACACATCCTCACACACACTTATGCACATCACACTCACACACACACACATGCACACAAAAATAAGATAAAAATAATAATAGTAAAGAAAAGAGGAGGTTAAGTGAGGTCACAAAAGAATGATAAAAGTAACAAATAATAAATAAATAGCATTAAGTCCATGCACTTAGTTTCAAAAGTAATAATTTCACTGAAAATACAAATTTTGCCCCTACTTAAATCACTGGGCAAAGAGATCTTTTTACATCTGTCAAGTTGAGATGCTCGTCTTCTTAAAACCTCCCCATGGCTTCCCATTTCCCTGGAATTAAAAGCCCTATCTGCTCCCCTTCATCGGCAAAGCCATCTCAACCTGTGCTTCTCCAACATCGTGGGATGTCACCTCCACCTCACCCCTGCCCCTATCCAGCCACACCACCTCCTGCCTCACCCCTGCCCCTATCCACCCACACCACCTCCTGCCCCACCCCTGCCCCTATCCACCCACACCACCTCCTGCCCCACCCCTGCCCCTATCCACCC